GACGCATTTAGGACCCCGTTCAACTGACTTGACACAGAACACTTCACCAGATATATATTCAACCCTAGATGATATCACGCATTATTCGACTGACAACTTGACGTATCTAGTCTGACGTATCTCAAGGTTTCGGTTTTAGTGTTGCCTTACCAGGCTTCATGGAAATGACTAGCTTGCTCGCGAGCGACTTCTGCTTAACCAATGCAAAAACGTTCATGCAAACCTAATATCTAGAACTGATGTTCATTTCCTCTATAAAACCTACCTTTATAATATTGCATGGAACCCTTACTTCAATTTTTGAAGTTAATTCTCATTGGCTCCAAAGCCTTTATCAAAAGTGTGCGCGTGGCAGACCTTACTTTAAACCCGAAACCCAATTATTCTTCATACTATTTCATTTGACCGTTCGGGGTGATCATTTTATGAGAACAAACATAGTAACCGAGATGCCTATTTTATGGAGTGGTTTTCACAAATACGCCATCATCGCTGGACGTGAGTTGCGTTCCCATTCTGGGCGCATTCGGAGCATAGCTTATTGAGTGCCGCAAACGAAACCGAAATAATCATCATAGTCTCTAGTCTCATTGTCAGGAGTATTCTAGATTACCGATTGTTCGTTGTTATGTAACTTGTACGAGGGCCCTTGTCCGGGGCTCCTAAAACTAACGCAATTCCAATTTTCGTCCTTCATTCAAGTTCTATTAGCAAACGCGACTCGGATAGAAGAGGATATATTCCCGTACCGCAGAGTAGATGTCTGCTGCCTGCCCAAAGCCCAAATTCCTGACTCAGGCGTTTGGGAAACAAATATCCCAGCAGCCAATGCACACTTCACACTATACCGCAGTGGTCCACGCGATTCCTCTGATAAACATGGTGTGGCGATTGCCATCTTGCAGCAAGTGAATAGTGCATTACTTGCTTGGGAACCAGTTAATGAATGGGTGGCTTACGTGCGACTGAAGGGTCACTTCACAAACATGTCTATTGTCTCCGTGTACGCATCAACTTCCGCCGCCAAACAGCGTGATCAGCAGACGCTTTACTCGCAGCTGCAAGCATTAGTTGAAAGACCCCCTCCCCACGATTTGCTAATTGTGGCCAGGGGCTGGAATGGCCAAATTGAACCTGGTGACTCAATAAATAGTCATTTTATTGGCTTGTTTCTAGATGTAAGAATAGGGAGAGATTGCTCAACTTTGCTCAAGCACCCTAGCAAACATTTACATACCTGGTGCTCAAACGACGGTTATACGGCCAGTCAGATTGACTGCATTTTAGTCACTTCAAGGTTCCGCAACTGGGTTCATGATAGCAGATTGCTGCGTGACGCCAATGCGTGTAATACCCATGGGTCTAACTAGGTTCTCGTTCATACAGTTTTGAAGGCTCGCCTCTCATTCGCGCCCAAAATACCACATGTTAGATGCCTCGATTTCGCAAAAAATCGGTAACCTAGCACTGCCGAGATCGTGAGCAGAGAACTTCGGTCCTATTTTTTCGACCCCAGTCGACGACGAAGACAGTAGCCAATTGTTATCACCGAAAATATCAGTCTATAGGGTAGCGGAGAAAATTCTTAGGTACACCCATGGGCGCCGCAGGGATTGGATCAGCGGAAGAACCTGGCAGTTGTCTGCTCAAACACCT